GTCGCTATCCATTACTCCACCGTGCAAATACAGTGCATTACTCCACAAATGAAATAATAATAATAATAATAATAATAATAATAATAATAATAATAATAATAATAATAATAATAATAATAATAATAATAATAATAATAATAATAATAATAATAATAATAATAATAATTTTAATATTAATAAAATTAAATTAGAAAAAAATGGCAAAATAAAAAACAAGAATAATACCAGTGGTGGAATTATAAAAATGGAACAAAACAACACATTGAAAGAATCCTGAAACCCCAGTGTCATACAGAAAATTGTCTTAATAAGCATACACACACTAAGGAGAACTTTGTTTATTTGTAGCAACTTTCGGAGAAAAAAAAAAAAAAAAAAAAAAAAAAAAAAAAAAATTAACATGAAATGTTGTTCTAAATTTGACAAATCTTCTTATCTTTCCGCAGACTTGGTGAAGTAGTGTGTCCATAGGCCTGGAAATAATAATAATAATAATGATAATAATAATAATAATAATAATAATTCATCTTAGAAACAATTTTATTTTCTTATGCTACAGCGTGTTTGGCAGGAGCTGGACTACCGACTTCACGTGTGTCGTGTCATAAGTAATGAGCATATTGTATATTTGTGAAGCTTTGTGAAATTGGTTATAAAATCGACATCCCTTTGAATATCTTGTTCTAAATTTGATAAATCTTCTATTGTTCAACATGAAGCCTATTTCGTGGGCCTGGAACATGAAGTTACTCAGATATTCACATTTTTAAATGATGTCAGATTTTTCGGGACATCCTGTATATATAACTGTTGAGATCTTGAGAGTGTTCCCGCGTGTGTGTATTCAAATAAAGACAAACACTGATGTAGGGAAAAATCCTGGTATTATTTGAAAGAGGTATTTAACAACAGAGTGATTAGTAATAACGAACGCAGGTTAGTGAGTAACAATAACAAGAGTCTAAGTCCAACGGTATGTAATGGTCTCGTGATCTCTATGATCTCCTTCTCTTCCCTGATCTCTCTAGCACTGACCTATATCGTAGAGGGATCAGATCAGTCCATTCTCAGTCAGAAGGTGGGTGCGCCCCAACAATAACTCTTTGCCGGCAAAAAGAGTGTTTCGTTGGTTTCCTTCTTCTTTTGAGAGAACATTAAAATATATATATATATATATATATATATATATATATATATATATATATATTTTAATTTCCTCTCCTGATTTATTTCTGGTACTTTTCTCGGGTTTGCTTATCAATTTCAGTCGTTTTTAATTTTAAAAATCGAATTGATATGATCTTCCAACTCTGATTAAGACGATTGTATATTTTAATCTTGTGTCAGTTTTTTCCTCCCATTTAGTATCTAAAACTTGTTCCTGTTAATAAAAAAAATAATTGTTTCGCCAACGATTTCTTCTCTGATGAATGGTTGATCGAAAGAATCTTAAAATATTTTTACCCCATGCAGATAAGCCAATAATTACATTTTGTAGTTTCAAGTAATTTTTAAATATATACACCCTTGTGCAAATTAATTCAAACAACAGCTTTAGTTTCCTTTTTTTCACCATACAGTCAGTTTTAGACCCATTGGATTGACAGAGTGTAATCGATTTCTATTTTTCCTCAGATTAGATCATTTGCTGTGGTGTGCGGTAATAGGAATCTATTTTCGGGGTGTATGATGAAATTTGTCATTGAGAAATATTGTGTCATCCGTGACTGCGTCAGATGTTCATCACGCCCAGACACTATTGTCTCGACTGTCGATTAGTTGTCCTACGACCATTGTCTGCGATGGACGTTAGTCCAAGGAAGCATACGAAAATTGTAACACTGCACAAACACACTGGCAAGTCTTACCAGTGAGCAAATCAAATTACTATCGACTGGCTCGGAAACTCTCCTGATTTAAATCCTATCGAGAATCTGTAGCCAATCTGCAAAGAGTGACTTCGTGGAATGGATATACGAAGTACTATCATGTGCACTGTTTCATTGAAAAAATACGAAAAAAAAATAGTAAATAATAACGGAATTATTCGTATTGTTTCAATTAATTTGCACAAGGGGTGTATATATATATATATATATATATATATATATATATATATATATATATATATATGCGTGTAGTACGATACAAAGTTCGAACAAAAGCGAATTTTTATTGATTGATGTATTTTACAACTTATGAAACTTTTACAGGTTATTTAAAGTCAGAAACTATTTCTATATTGTAAGAATTTGAGTGTGAAAAATAATAATGATTTACTTATCCAATTGCTACTAATTAACCCATAGCTGAGGGAAGAATAGATCGATCCATACTTTCCCAAAGATATTTCCGAGCAACTGAATATAGTAGACTCGAGTGTAATTTAAACTCTGCTTTAAGATTTCCAATTACGAGTCGTTACACCACACCCACATCCAAGCTTACAGCACATAGTATTCACATGCGGTCACTCATCAAGGTAATGATCAGGCTCGACGTTGCTTAACTTCTGGTGTTTCATCCTGATATGGCCGTAAGCCATTTCTACGCGCACATCCAAGCTTACAGCACATAGTATTCCCAAGCGGTTACTCATCAAGGTACTAACCAGGCTCGAAATTGCTTAACTTCTGCTGTTTCATCCTGATATGGCAGTAAGCCATTTCTACGCACACATCCAAGCTTACATCGTCTAGTATTTCCAAGCAGTAACCCATCTAGGTACTGACCAGGCTCGGCGTTGCTTAACTTCTGCTGTTACATCCTGATATAGCCGTATGCCATTTCTACGAGCACATCCAAGCTTACATTATCTAGTATTCCCAAGCAGTTACTCATCAATGTACTGGGCAGGCTCGATATTGCTTAACTTCTGGTGTTTCATCCTGATATGGCCTTAAGCCATTTCTACGCGCGCGCACATCCAAGCTAACAGCGTCTAGTATTTCCAAGCGGTAACCTCTCTAGTTACTGACCAGGCTCGATGTTGCTTAACTTCTGGTGTTTCATCCTGATATGGCCTTAAGCCATTTCTCCGCGTGCGCACATCCAAGCTTACAGCGTCTAGTATTTCCAAGCGGTAACCTCTCTAGTTACCGACCAGGCTCGATGTTGCTTAACTTCTTGTGTTTCATCCTGATATGGCCTTAAGACATTTCTCCGCGTGCGCACATCCAAGCTTACAGCGTCTAGTATTTCAAGCAAACCTCTCTAGTTACGGGCTCGAGGTTGTACCTGTTTCATCCTGGATATGGCCTTACATTTCTACCAGGCGTCTGATAACCTTGTTACCGACCAGGCTCGATAAACTTCTTGTGTTTCATCCTGATATGGCCTTAAGACATTTCTCCGCGTGCGCACATCCAAGCTTACAGCGTCTAGTATTTCCAAGCGGTAACCTCTCTAGGTACTCATCAGGTTCGACATTGCTTAACTTCTTTTGTTTTATCCTGATTTGGCCGTAAGCCATTTCTCGCATTCGTTTGGTTAATCACTTCCTACAAGTCTATTTTTAAAAGTATCCTTCTTTTTTAAATTAAATTAATCTTTCACTCGCCAGTATTTTAATATCGCCTGAGGAGACACATTCTTGGTGCCAAAACAAATGTAATTGTGTAGCGACTTTTAACATGTTTTATATCCTAAAATAAATAATATTTAGCTCTATTATATATTGAGCCATCTTTCAAATTAAATGTTACGTACAGTGGAATCATACCTCCATTGGTCCTCATATATATATATATATATATATATATATATATATATATATGATAAAATAAAAAAAATTTAAACGTATATCAGTCTAACATGTTTCACTTTTATTAAACCTTTGTCATAGATTGAGAGAAAAACAAAAAGACAGAAACGATGGTATTTTCAATTTAAGCGGGGGCGTCAGTTCTCATTGGTCAGTCACGTATCACGTGTCTTAAAACCGTAGATAACAGTGTCTTTTTGTCTGTTTTCTATCAATATCTCACCAAGCTTTAATAAAAGTGAAACATATTAGATTGATACATGTTTCTTATTTTCTTTATTTTATCAACCTTTCGGATTCAGGTCCATATTTGATCTGCATTTGATGTTTTAATTCATATATATATATATATATATATATATATATATAATAATATATATATATATTGAACTTAATGCGCATGAACGAATATTATTTGCACGGAAGACTGCAAATAATTAATGTGTGTGAATATTATTTGCAATCTGTGTCAATCTGTGGCCATTAACTTAATTTCTTGCAGACAGGTTTTGAAGTCAAAAGTAAGAAGTGGAAGTTTATGTAATTAGATAAACTGAATAATTAAATCAATTAACGAAGTTGTGACCAAGATTAATTAAAGAAAATATAAAAAAAAACTTTTGGCACTCTACTTATAAGCGACCGATTTCTTACTGACAGATTTTTTTTAACAATAAACCACGAAGTACTTTCAATGGATTCTCGAAAATTATATAAAAATAAACCTGATGTATTCCAAATTATAAGCAAAGTACTCAGAAACAAAAACAAATCGTTAGAAACAAAGAAATGAATGATGGATTGCCATGTGATATGAATCCTCTTATAAGGAACTGAATGCTAAAGAATCTCACCACAGATGATGAGAAAAGTAGAAGGAACAGAAATGTAATTCTACAGGAGGATATTGAGAATTGCATAAACCGAGCGAGTAAGCAAAAAGAAAAATGGCAACAAAAAGAACACTTCTGCTCCTAATCAAGATTAATTGATTCGTTTTCTACGGATTATCAACCGTTTGAAGGTTATTTAAAGCCAGGGAACACTTTTAGATTGTAAGATATTTTTAGATTTAGTAATTAATTCCTACTAATTAACCCATACCTGGGGGAGAAGAGGTCGTTTCATACATTTCCAATGGGTATTTACACGTAAATGAATATAACGAACCCAAGTGAAACTGAAACTCGGCTCTCTGATTAACAATTCCGAGTCATTATCCCTTACACCATCCAAGCTTACAGCAACTGGTATTCCCAAAAAGGTCACCCATCTCGGTACTGAACCAGCCGCGACGTTTCTTAACTTCGTTGATCATACGGGAAGCAGTGTTTCAACGCTGTATAACCATCCATCATGCAGGTCAATCGTAGTCAGTATCATCGTACCAATTCGAACAATCCTTTCTTTAGTAGTGATTTTCCAAGCCTAGCTTGGATGTGGCACAAGGCCGAAAGTAAGGGGCACCCAGTGAGGATTGAACTCACTACTCAGCCGTAATTGTTCTAGCGAGACAAGCTTGCTAACCATTACGCCACCTCGAGGTGCCCCAATCCTTCTTTAGTATGTGCTACGCCAGGGATACATACAGTTTGAATTCAGAGTTACTTTCTCCTAGACCGGTTGCCACCCAAGGCTATTTATCCAAGGCTGGTGGCAGAGAAAAAGAAGGTACTCTCAAGGGTATTAACACGTGGCTTCAATGGATCGAGTTCGCTCTCCCTCAATCGGAGCCGCTATCCATTACTCCACCGTGCGTCCGTGTATGGTATAACCATAAGGCTTTAGAATCAAGAAAAAACAGGGGAAATTCCTTGGTTACATAGTGAGGAAGGAGGGCTTGGAAAACATAACTCTTACAGGTCAGGAGAGATAAAGGAAGACAACGAGCGACCTCCATGAAGAGCTTATATGAATGGTGGGGGTGCTTAGCAGAGGACCATAAGGGATAGGAAATTTTGGAGCTCTGTGATCAGCCATGTTTACAAGGTACATAGAAGATCCTGCAGGCTAATAGCTTAGCGGATTAAGGTGTTGACTCGTGAATTACGTGATATATTAATTGTAAGTTCAATCCCTGGGCCGAGTGATGCAGACTTAGTCTCAATGAAAACAGGGCGAACAATAACTGAATCGTATGAAAAAAGAACAAGTCTGAACCGCGAAACGAGAACAATTGACCCCCTGTTTATTAAAGATCAGTATCTGTCTATATTTCTGAGATGAGGTATTATGTACACTATTTACATTATTCAGACTATTGTCCTCATCTTTAGCGCCATATTTATTACAACGTTTCGGCCTTTCAGTATCTGTCTATATTTCTGAGATGAGGTATTATGTAAACTATTTACATTATTCGGACTATTGTCCTCATCTTTGTCGCCATATTTATTACAACATTTCGGTCGTTGCACGCTCCGGCCTTCTTCAGATGGTTGGAATGTCGAACTGAACCTTTTATTTCGCTCACTGGGGTAGACTGTTCTAGTTCCACGTGCCATATCTATTGGATGTCACAGTGGATAAAGGCGTTAGTTAGATACTGTGACACGACCCTAAGAGCGTGATTTCAATACCTAGTTAAGGCGGTGAGTAACTTGGAAAGGGAAATTAACAGGAGATAACTGATAACTGACATCTAAAACGTTGTAATAAAGATGGCGACAAAGAGGAAGGATGCGTATTTGTGGACTGCGTTTTCAAGCTGATGTTCAAAGTCCTGTAAATTAAATAAAGGGTTCAGTTCAAAATTCCCTGAAGTGTACTCGGATCGAGAAGCACTTAATGATGGCCGGAGAGCATAACAGACGAAACGTTGTGATAATAGAAACAAAGACGATAACAATAGTCTGAGAATAAATAATGTAAATAAATAAACCTAATTAAGTATGCAATAACAAGTGACTCATGTAAAAAGCGAAACCGCAGGGAAAATGCTAAACCTGGAGCCAGAATTCAAAAGGCAGTTCGACGTTACATCCAAAATCGTGCTGGAAATCCCATGACGGCACCAATATCAAAGCGGTATCAACCCCAGCCCTACTCTTGGACAACAGCAGTAGCGTTAAAAAAAAAATCGCCCTGCATGGGCAACCGTTGATCCCCCAGAAAGTCCTGACCAGGTCTCTGCACCCTGGAGAGGACACACGAGTGTCACCTCACCATGGTGACAAAAAACAGAAAGCAGCGTCGACTAATGATAAGCCCGCGTTCATTGGTACACAAACGATACTCTACCATAACAAACTGAATCAAAACTCCCCGGGCGCTGATTAATGATTTCTCGTGACTGACACAATAAAGAACTTATCTGCTAGTGGGCTTTACTGAATACATTTCAGGGTAAATAAATGTTATACACACACATACGAGTATACACACACACGCACACACACGAACACACACACACACACACACATATATATATATATATATATATATATATATATATATATATATATATATATATATATATATGTGTGTGTGTGGGGTATGTGTGTGTCTCTAGGCAGCAAACCCTTTTCAATACATGTTTCGTCGAACAGTACTGACACGGTGTTTTTGTTTTTGTTTTTCTTTCCTCCAAACGTACAAAACTGACTTCTTTTTTGATCTTAATGAATGTAAATATTGTCCAAAGCTTTGTTGGTTCCCAGCGCTTTCAGTTAAACTGTTAACCATTTTCAACGATGTCTTTTTGGTATACTGCTATAATAAATGTTATTTATGTGTTGTTGTAGACGATATAAAATTAGCTGAAAGTAGATATACCCGGTAAAACCCAACAACGACCCCAATACGCAACATAGCTATCGAGATGTAGGATGTGATATTTCTCCTACTGCAAAAACTGTTTAAAAGTAATGAAATAATTTATTCATTAAAAACAAAAAATAACACGACTTAATTACATTATCAACATGGTCACAATGTACTGGAAGTAAGGATAACAGAGGGAGCATAAAGTTGGTTGTTTGATGTAAGAAAAACACTGATAAAAGATGGCTAGTTGAGATATATACATATGTGGTTAAGACATGGAAGAAAACAGTCATAGACTTAATAGATGTTAGGAAAAACATTTGTCCAGTAATAAACTCTCAATAGATACAGATGTCTATATATGTATATATGGTATGTACTCCTAACATATTGCATACATAAATATAAATATGTCATTTACTTTTCCAAATTTCAGAATCATTTCTCATTGGCTAAAGATTCACTGCAGACTGAAATATATTCGATCCACTAACAAGTGTTAATTCATTTTCCACCAACTTGTCTTTCATCTAATATGTATATGTATTGAAGTGTAAAAAAACATAAACACATATATGTATATCTATATATATATATATATATATATATATATATATATATATATATATATATATATATATATATATAGTTGCTTTTTCTCGGCTGAGGTCCGTATAGTTTTTCAAACCCGGCCTATACTTCGTTCTGGGTGCAAGGATGCTCTCCCTCCCCATCAAGTTAATTCTATTGTTTATAAATATAATTGTAGTTGCGGTGCTGACTACTGATAGGGACAATTACTCAACGCCTGGACATGAGAATCAAACAACATGTTCCCCACTAGGATCAGGAATCACGCCTTATCTTTGAATGGACTTGTCCAGTTTACTTACAGTTCCGCCATATGTGAGCACCTCTTCAACAACAGAGGTGGGTGCTGCTAATTTTAGTGCTGACTGGTTTTTTATATATATATATATATATATATATATATATATATATATATATATATATATATATATATATATATATATATATATGTGTGTGTGTGTGTGTGTGTGTGTGTGTGTGTGTTCTTCACAGACAGACTGTTTCGCTGTTTCACAGCTCATTCGTGTCGCTAGCTATCCAATTGACTCAATCCGGGATCGAAACCCAACTGATTTGATATTGATTGGCGCACGGCAGGGATGGAGTTGAATTTAGACGTATTTTATTATATAATTGCGCAGGTATGCAGAAAATAGAAAAGAACACGTTGGGTGCATAATCCGGTTTTTTTTCCTTCCTTCTCTGTCCATTCATTCATGTCATCCATGACAGACTTTTTTCTTTTCCTCATAATTTTAGTTCCCCGTTAACAGTTCTGACGAGAGGGGAAAAAACCGGTCGACTGGTGTGTGTTTTGTTTTAAACTTATCATGGCCTACAAAACAAAATTTCTTGTTTTTAATGCCTTAATACGCTTTTGTACCATTTTTCAAACCTATTTAAATATATATATATATATATATATATATATATATATATATATATATAGGAGCGAAGATGGGCCACCTACGCCTTATAACCAGCTGCTACGCATAGATGGAGCTCATTAGCAGTCCATCTAGAGAAAGAAAAAACCCTGATTTTAAACCGCCGTTGGCTTGCGGACATAACCAAACACGGAAAATGTCGACGTAAATCCAGATTGAAAATCTGGAGTGAGACTCTGATGGCGGTTGGCTCTCAACACTGACGAACTTCCAGGGATTTCTGTAGCCGGGCCGTTACAATGTGATACAGTTTATTTCTTTGAATCTTGTCGGTACAGATGAGAGTGGGGCCATGCAGCGCATAGCCTCTATGTAGCATCACCCAGGCCTGCGCCCAGGAGAGTTCACCCCAGTTTCACAACGAAAGAACCGAATTTTGACCAACTAGAGTATTGTCATTACCCAGTAAGATAAATGGCAGCCTAGTTTATCCTGACGCAAATAAGAAACATTTCATCCTTTTCAGAGAAATATATATCCCTTGTTGAAACTTTTCGCTGTCTATATGTCTAAACAATCATATATAAACGATCATCTATATAAAAACGTTTTCTCGGATCGATGATTCAAAATAGCTTCAAGTGAATGAAACATCTTCTTCTTAAAGAAGACAATCCTTCATCTTATATAAATGGCTCTACAGAATAAGAAAAAGTGTATATGATTGGCACCACAGGACCACAAGGAGTATGTATGATTGGATATTATAGAATCACGAGTATGTATGATTGGCGCTACAGAATCCCAAAGTGTATGTATGATTGTCACTACAAAATCAAAATGAGTATGTATGATTGGCGCTACAGAATCCCAACGAGTATGTATGATTGACACTACAAAATCTTAACGAGTATATATGATTGGCGTTATAGAATCACACACAACTTGCAATATAGAATCAGAACAAGTTTTACCAAATAACAAAAAAACACACAACACCAGATGACTTATAACTGCAACAATAAAAATAATAAATAGCATATGTAAGTAAAAGGGGGGAAATAATGATATAATCAAGCTGTTGTTTTTCACACTTAAACCAAATGTTAGAAAGGAAAGTCTCAGTAGAAAGTTTATCATTAGAAAAAATTGTGAGAAAGATTTTGTAAATTTCAACCGACTAGTAACACTGACTATTCAGCCAATGAACGCTGAACGTTTCCTGCATGGATAGCTACTTATATATCATATAATTTATTTTAACTTATATTTGCCAACAATACGTGTAACCAATAAAATAATACAAGTAAAGAACATTTCGAAATTGCCAAGGAATCCTTTAGGGAGCTCTTCAGCATTAGAAGTACAGAAAAACATCTATTGTTTTCTAGTTGCTGGACGCCAATAAATGAACTTTAATTACAAAATTGAACTGATTTGACCAATAATCAAGGAACAAAACACTGCACGCGTATATCTGAAAATCAGTTACACGTACATTATAATCATCTGATTAATGCTGTTATTACCTTTCGATCAGTATATATATATATATATATATATATATATATATATATATATATATATATATATATATATATATAGTCATCCACAGACAGACTGCATCACAGCTCATCAGTTTGGCTAGACGTTCGGTTGCCTCTAGCTAGGATCGAAACCCGACTGAGATATATATATATATATTCAAATGAGAAAAGAATAAATGTAGTAAAAATTCATAGCATTTACTTTTCAAAAAGTGCTCGATACAAATTAGAGCAATATATTATTATTGTATTTTTATTATAAGAGATTATACTAAAAACAGGTTGAAATCGCTACACAAAAGCTTTCATGTTTCAATACAATAATTGTACGAAAAATTGAAAAAAAAATTAACGTGTCATTCCATTTCCAAAAGTTAAAGGGTGCTAACATAAGGTCAGAATTAAAAATAGACCTGTGGGTATGTTTGGATTAACCAATTAAATATCAGATCTACGCTAAATAGAAAAGTAAGCTCAGAGGGTGGAGGTGGGTGAGTTATTTTTTCATGTCACGAAAAACCGGAATATAGACAGGCTATCATTGACGATTGCGGAAAATATGTCAGCAACAAATGTATCGTGATTGTAGACAAACATGATATGTTCAATTTCTTTTAAGGACGTTGAAGGGAGGGGTACGTTAATCAGACGTAAAGTTAACTGACGTAATCAGACGTAAAGTTAATCAGACGTAAAGTTAACAGACGTTAATCAGACGTAAAGATATTTTTTTTAATTCTTTTATATTCTAGAAGTTGCTGAAAGGGGCCTGTAGATAAAATTCAAAAATGTGGAACATCTACATAAGATATTAATAATGCTAACTGGACCTCAATACATAGCGATATCTAAGCTGAATAAACAAAATAAAGTAATTACCCGTAGAGGGTTGACCATTTTATACTAATAAATTCTGGCTGTAAGAAATTTATTTATATATATATATATATATATATATATATATATATATATATATATATATATATATATATAAAACATTAGGCAGCATATGATTTACATACAAAAATAATCACACATAGAATTAATCAAAGTATTAATGCGATTATTGGCGACATCCGTCGCTAGAAAAACATAATATATGCATTAAAATCCTGTTCATCCATAGTGCGAGTTTTGATCCTTGAAGAAAAACTTGTCTGTAGTTTTTCAGTTTATTTGATGTTAAAATGCTAGTACTTACGGACGGTCTTCCATCCATCATCAGGCATGTGTTTTTTTTTCTTATAAAATCAAAAACTTGAGACGATATATCTGTATGTCGACCGAAAGATGTTTTTTGAATATCTGCTATTGTTGACGGGTGTGTAAGATCGTGGAACGCGCAAAGACGCAACGCTAAGTTTTCAAAATTTTTTAAGTGAGAATTTTATTTAAATATTTCTTGTGATGTGTTAAATCCACATATTCTATTTTACAAGTGTATTAGTTTTTATGTCATGAACTAAGTATATAGTTCAATAATATAGTGTAATGTCTTAGTAGTAGTTTTTTTTATAAGAATTTTTTATGTACTGCGGATCGATAGTTTTTAATAAACATAAAACATTAGGCAGCATATGATTTACATACAAAGAATAATCACACATAGAATGTCGCCAATAATCGCATTAATACTTCTGATTAATTCTGTGTGTGATTATTCTTTAAAATATATATATATATATATATATATATATATATATATATATATATATATATATATATAAATTAAGTATTACCATTTCTTATTATCAGCGTATATGGGCTTGATTTTTCCTTTTTTGCTTATGGTTATCGCCTTAGAATAGTGTCTATTATCTTATGGCTATCGGCTCGGAATGAGAAATCGGATAGCCGAGTTCGAATTCAAGTCGAGTTCGTTGCATTCACTTTCGCGCATATATCCTTGAATCCATGTCTTCTCCCCAAAATTATTCGGCAACTTAATAACAATGGTGTTTAAATGGCAATCTATATTATACGCTGATTTCATCACGTACACAAATCTACGTATATATTAAATACTATTTATATAATTTCTTTCTTTTTATGTGCCGTGTCCTTTCAAGACGTAGGTGATCATGGCTCTCCACTTCTCCCTATCCTTTGTAGCTCTTGTCCCTTTGCTACTTCCCCCAGACAACGTTCTGTCATCCACTTGCTCAAGCTCGCCAGGTATGTCATGCACTGCTTTCCCTTGTCTCTCTTTCCCTCTATTCGACCTGTGAGTATCAGATTCTCTAGGCCCTCCTTCCTCATTATGTGTTCCAGAAACTTCAGCTGCCTCTTCCTGGTGTTAAGTATAAGCCTCCTCCTTGTTTGCATCCTCCCCAAGACCTCATCGTTGTTCACACGCCCGGTCCTTGATATCCTTAGTATCCTTCTGTAGATCCATATCTCCATCGCCTCGAGTCTCTTCTTCATCTTTGACGAGACCGTCCAACATTCGCTGCCGTAAAGGAGGACAGATGTCACGTAACAGCTCAGTATTCTTTTATTTGTAACCAAAGAAATCCTCCTGTCTTGCAGTATTCAACCCAGCTTTTGGAATGCGTCCTTGGCTATCCCAATACGTCTAATGTTAACTCTATAAACATAGAATTACTCGTCATCGAGTTTAATACCATCCTTAAAATAAATATCTTTAAATGAAAATATGCTTCTGAATAGAATTAAAAAAATACTTGCTTATATGACATTTTTATCGCCTTACTTCTCTATTTACCAAATAATTAACCCCTCTCTTTCCTCTCTCTATATCCTCTCTCACTTCCTTCTATGTATATTTATATCTTTCTCTTCTTTTTATATTATATACTAGCCTAAAAGCCGCCTTTTGGCTAGCTCCTGTGGAAGGCATTTGGGCCTCTGGACTTTTGCCTTCAGTGTCCGTACGTAAAAGTTATAAGAATTTAGAAATGATAAAATTATTTTATCTTTATTCGACACCTTAATTCGGCGTAATCTTTCTTCATATACGCAACCGATCTCCGTATTTTGTTTTCATCTATTTTGCGCGCAATTTTTATTTTCTTTTAAATTCAACATTCTTTATTAACTCTTCACATAAAGTCATTCTTAAAAGACATTAGGGAACTCGAACTATGTTACATTTCGAATACGTCACAGTACGCATGCTAGAAAAAAAACATATGAGCAACGTACTGTGCCCTGCTCAAGTTTAAATTGCGATTTCATTAGACGATATCAATTGCAATTGCGATGCAAAACGAAATTACAGTTAACCCTTTAATAAATAAATGTTTTTAAAACATTTCACTCTATTCGATATTTAAACTTTAAATGAGTTATTTATTTAATTTTTAATCTCGTGTAACTACAGTAGTTACTAGCTGCTACTACAGGTTGTTTATGATTCGCCAAGATCGAAAATCGGACGGACACACGTACACTGCGATTTATTTATATATAAGATTTGACTCTCTATCTCTATCCCCCTCCTTCCCTTGTATTTATTTTCATATTTTTATTTTTATATTATATATATATATATATATATTCTCTCCTTCCCTCTCCCACCCTCCCTTAAATGTATTTTTACTTTTTTGTCTTCCTTTTATATTATATATTTACTCTCTCTCTCTCTCTCTCTCTCTCTCTCCCCACTGTATGTATTTTTATATTATCTCTTCCTTTTATCTTATATATTTTCTCTCTTTTCCTTCTTTATCTCTCTCCTATATATTTTTCTTTTTTCTTTTCCTTTTATATTATATATTTTTCTCACTCTGTCTCTGTCTCTCTCCCTCACTCTTCTTCTGTATTTTTATATTTTCTGTTTCTTTATATTATATATTTTCACTCTCTCTCTCTCTCTCTCTCTCTTTTCACTCTCTCTCCCTCTCTCTCTCTCTCTCTCTCTTTCACTCTCTCTCCCTCTCTCTCTCTCTCTCTCTCTCTCTCTCTCTCTCTCTCCCCTGTATTTTTTACTTTTTCTTTTACTTCTATATTATCTATTTTTCTCTCTCTGTCTCTATATTTTTAATTTATTTTTATTATTTCCTCTTCCTTTTACATTATATTCTCTCTCTCTCTCTCGCTCTCTCTCTCTCTCTCTATCTATCTATCTCTCCTGTTATTTATATTTTTTCTTTTCCTATTATATTATGTATTTTTCTCTCTCTGTCCCTATCTCTCTCCCTCACTTCTATGTATTTTTATATTTTCTCTTTTTATATTATCTATTTTTCTCTCTCTCTTTTTTCTCTCTCTCTCTCTCCCTATGTATTTTTATATTTTCTCTTCCTTTTATATCATATATTTTCTCACTCTTTCTCTCTCTCCCCCCTCTCTCTCTCTCATCATTTTTCTATTTCTTTTTATATTGCTTCTTCTCAAAACGCCTCCATCTCTCAACAATCGTTTTAATAATTAATTCGAAATTCACACCATCTCTTTACCACTTTTCACACGTTTATTCCTTACACTAAACAATGTATCGAATCATTCGCATTCACAAATACATTTTTCACGCCTCCATTCCTTCATTGATGCACTTTTCGTTTCTCTGTAATGGCCAGTAATCAAAATAAAATAACCAGAGTCTGATATGGTGACTAGATCTGGTTGCATAGTATCTCCGAAACCAAAAATTAATCACTCACATCAACATGATATATTATATTCACAAAACACCGTAAATTCTACTTTTTCTCTTCTTTCTCCATCTCTCCCTTCTCTTCTTTCTCCATCTCTCCCTTCTCTTCCTTCCCCATCTCTTTTTTCTTTTACTAATACGTCTCTTCCTCCTCCTCCTTCTTCTTTTTCTTCTTCCTTTTTCTCTCCTTCTCTTCCTTCTTCCACTTTTTCTTCTTCTCCTTATATTCCTCCTCCTCTTCTTACGTCTTCCCTTTCCTTTTTCTCTTTCCTTCCTTCGCCTTCTTAAAGCTCTTCCTTTTTCCTTTCCACCTTTTCTTCTTCTTCGTCTTCTTCTTCTTCTTCTTTTTTCTTCTCTTCCTTTTCTCTTCTTTCGCCTTCTCTTCCTTCTTCCACTTTTTCTTCTTCTCCTTATATTCCTCCTCCTCTTCTTACGTCTTCCCCTTTCCTTTTTCTCTTTCCTTCCTTCGCCTTCTTAAGCTCTTCCTTTTTCCTTTCCACCTTTTCTTCTTCTTCGTCTTCTTCTTCTTCTTCTTTTTCTTCTCTTCCTTTTTCTCTTCTTTCGCCTTCTCTTCCTTCTTCCACTTCTTCTTCTCCTTATATTCCTCCTCCTCTTCTTACGTCTTCCCCTTTCCTTTTCTCTTTCCTTCCTTCCCATCTTAAACTCTTCCTTTCTCCTTTCCACCTTTTCTTCTTTTTCTTCTTCTTCTTCTTCTTCTTCTTCTTCTCTTCCTTTTTCTCTTCTTTCTCCTCCTCTTCCTTCTTCCACTTCTTCTCCTTATATTCCTCCTCCTCTTCTTACGTCTTCCCCTTTCCTTTTTCTCTTTCCTTCCTTCGCCTTCTTAAACTCTTCCTTTCTCCTTTCCACCTTTTCTTCTTCTTCTTCTTCTTCTTCTTCTTCTTCTTCTTCTTCTTCTTCTTCTTCTTCTCTTCCCTTTCTCTTCTTTCTCCTCCTCTTCCTTCTTCCACTTCTTCTCCTTATATTCCTCCTCCTCTTCTTACGTCTTCCCCTTTCCTTTTTCTCTTTCTTTCCTTCGCCTTCTTAAACTCTTCCTTTCTCCTTTCCACCTTTTCTTCTTCTTTTTCTTCTTCTTCTTCTTCTTCTTCTTCTCTTCCTTTTTCTCTTCTTTCTCCTCCTCTTCCTTCTTCCACTTCTTCTCCTTATATTCCTCCTCCTCTTCTTACGTCTTCCCTTTCCTTTTTTCTCTTTCCTTCCTTCGCCTTCTTAAACTCTTCCTTTCTCCTTTCCACCTTTTCTTCTTCTTTTTCTTCTTCTTCTTCTTCTTCTCTTCCTTTTTCTCTTCTTTCTCCTCCTCTTCCTTCTTCCACTTCTTCTCCTTATATTCCTCCTCCTCTTCTTACGTCTTCCCCTTTCCTTTTTCTCTTTCCTTCCTTCGCCTTCTTAAACTCTTCCTTTCTCCTTTCCACCTTTTCTTCTTCTTCTTCTTCTTCATTTCTTCCTTTTTCTCTTCTTTCTCCTCCTCTTCCTTCTTCCACTTCTTCTTCTCCTTATATTCCTCCTCCTCTTCTTACGTCTTCCCCTTTCCTTTCTTCTTTTTCTCTTTCCCTCCTTCGCCTTCTTAAGCTCTTCCTTTCTCCTTCCGACCTTTTTTCCCTTCTTCTTCGTCTTCTTCTTCTTCTTTGTTGCCTTCTTTGTCGTATTATTATTATTCTCTGGTCATGCCTTCTTCTTTTACTTCTTCTTCACCTTCTTTTTATCTTTCTTTCCTTCGTCGTAACATTTTTCTTCTCTTTCTTTTTCTTTTTCTCCTCCCTTCATTATCTACTTCTTCTCCTTTCCATCTCTCTCTTCTCCATTTCTTACTTTTTCACTTTCTTCTTCCCCTTCCTTCGTCGTCTTCTTCTCTACCTTTTCCTATTTCCCTAACCTTTTCCTTCACTTCCTTCTTCCTCTTCCCCCTTCTTTTTTTCTCTTTTCTTCTGTCGTATTCTCAACCTCTTCCTTCTCTCTCTTCTCCTTCTCCTTATCTTTCTTCTTTTCAACGTCTTTATCATCTTCACCTTATCCTTCTTTTCTTCCTTCTCCTTCCTTTCCTTTTTTCTCTTCTTATCTGTCGCTGTCTTCGTTTTTTTCTTAACTTCCGTCTTCTTCTCGTCCTTTTTCCTCCCCTTCTTTTTCTCTTGCTTTCCTTCGTCTTCTCAGCAACTTATTTTGTTCTTCACCTGTTCCTTTTTCTCGTTCTTGTCTATTTCTTCCTTGTTCTCATACTTCTTCTTTTCCTTCTTCTATTTCCTTTTCTTCATTTTAGTTTTCTTTCTTTCGAATTCTCAGCCTCTTCCTTCTCTTTCTTCTCCTTCATATATTTTCTTCTTTTTCTTGTCTTTATCATCTTCTTCACCTGATCCTTCTTTTCTTTCTTCTCCTTCCCTTACTTCTTTCTCCTTTTCTTCCTCTTCCTCTTCTCCTTCTTCTTTCCTCTTCTTCTTCTTCTTCACTGCCTCTATCTTCTTCTTTTTCTTCTTCTCTTACTCCTTCTCCTTCCCTTTCTTATTTTTCTCTTACCTTCCTTCGTCTTCTCAACCTCTTCCTTCTCCCTTTTACTCTTCCTTCTCCATCCTTCTTCTTCTGTATCTCTTCTTTTCTGTCTTTTCTTTCTTTCCCATCACTTCCTCCTTCTCAAAACTTTGCTTCATTTTTGGAATGAGTCTTTCGTTATTGCCATACACCTTCGGATTTCGTTGTCACATTTTTCGTCCCTTTCAAAAAAAAATTCCGAGATGTTTACGCTTTTGTACTTCCTTGTACTACTAATGGAGTAGACTATTCTAGTTCCGCGTACCATGTTTTTAATGGATGTCGGTTATCAGCTATCTCCTGTTAATTACCCTCTGAAAGTTCTCCACTGCCTTAGCCGGGTATTGAAGTTGGAGAGAGGAATTAACAGGAGATAACTGATAACTGACATCCATTAGACATGGCACGTGGAACTAGAACAGTCTACCCTAGTGAGCGAAATATAGGGTTCAGTTCGACATTCCAACCACCTGAAGAAGGCCAGAGCGTACAACGGCCGAAATGTTGTAATAAATATGGCGACAAAGATGAGGACAATAGTCCGAATTTAAATAATGTACATAATACTTCATCTCAGAAGTATAAACAGATTAAATCGTTATGTTTCCCACGGCCGAAACGTTGTAATAAATATGGCGACAAAGATGAGGACAATAGTCCGAATAATGTAAATAGTGTACATAATACCTCATCTCAGAAATATAGACAAATAATGAAGGGCCGAAACGTTGTAATAAATATGGCGACAAAGGATGAGGACAATAGTCTGAATAATGTAAATAGTGTACATAATACCTCATCTCAGAAATACAGACAGATACTGAAGGGCAGAAACGTTGTAATAAATACGGCGACAAAGATGAGGACAATAGTTCGAATAATGTAAATAGTGTACATAATACCTCATCTCAGAAATATATACAGATACTGAAGGGCAGAAACGTTGTAATAAATATGGCGACAAAGATGAGGACAATAGTCCGAATAATGTAAATAGTGTACATAATACCTCATCTCAGAAATATAGACAGATACTGAAGGGCAGAAACGTTGTAATAAATATGGCGACAAAGATGAGGACAATAGTCCGAATAATGTCAATAGTGTACATAATACCTCATCTCAGAAATATATACAGATACTGAAGGGCCGAAACGTTGTAATAAATATGGCGACAAAGATGAGGACAATAGTCCGAATAATGTCAATAGTGTACATAATACCTCATCTCAGAAATATAGACAGATACTGAATGGCCGAAACGTTGTAATAAATATGGCGACAAAGATGAGGACAATACTCCGAATAATGTAAATAATAACGATTAAACTTAGTCTTTAATAAGTTAAGATTGTAGTGGTCGAAGAATTATACTCTTGGGTGTTTGTTTCATGGAGCAGCGGTTCGTCGGATGAATATGCTTGAATAAAACCTCCATCTTATCAACGGAATATGAAGGGAACGTATGTGGTTCGCAATGATGTCGATGGCATGATGGGTCTTAACCTTGAAGGTTAGAATTGGTGGAACTAAGGTATGCAGTTCTTCTGAGCACTTTCCATGGAAATAACTAAAGAACAGTGAGTTTCACAACGTTTCATCAGTGAGGGAGAAGTTGTAGGGTTGAAAATAATTTGTCACCCGCAACTACGCGGAAACGGCTTTGGTCTATATAGATACTTCAAAGTGGAGACAGGGCATCTCCTGACCCTATATGATAGCAGTACTCGATTCTCGGTCTGATCTAGCCCTTGTAAAGGTAGAGTATAGCATCAGGAGTTGAGTAGTCCGTTGAAAATACGTTAAATTAGGTGAAGCCTTCGCAAAGATTCGTTAGCTTACTGTAAATTGACTCCGATTTTAAGATAATGATTGTTAATGTTGTTTCGATTTTCTTTCGTTTTTTTTTTATTATTATTATTATTAATTGACTACAATTTTCCTCTCGAACTGTCCGAAATAAGTTCACGAGTCGGAAAAATAAACTACTTACTATAGTATTTTCCCAACTAGTTTTATATGGTGTCTTTCCCAAGGTTGTTAAGTATCAGCAAACATGGCGGCTTCCCCTCTGAAGTCAAGCCAATTTTTCTGCCAAAAGCAAGAAATACCGAGTGACGTAATTCTATGTACATTATTTATTTGTTTATTGTATTTTCGTCTATCATCGGAGTTCAGTTCACTTGACTTGATCTAAGAGAAGCCAGATTTTTCGTTAAAAAATGAAAATCAATTGTAGTTGTTGGTAGTGTTTCATGTTGATCATGTTGGAATCTTTTAAGTTTGCTATTTTTAATAATTTCACGCCCAGCAAATCAATAAAATCACTAAGTCACAAGGGATTACTTAATGGGTAAGAATATAAGAAAAACAAAATATTATTAAGGAGCCAAATCTATAAAAGAACAGGAATTAGGAGGACAAAAGGTAACGATTGACATAGCATATACATTTTTGAAAATCAAAGTTGACTGGAAAGCCTGAAGCTGGAAAAGAAATCCAGAAGCAATAAGTGCTAGAGAAGAAGGTTTTAGCATAGAACTTACGGTTACATTTAGCCATTTCAACTGTAAGATGATGATACCTTTCTACCACTTCAGTATTGCGCTTAGATTCATAAAGTCTAGGTACCATCGAAGAAAGTTCCTTAGAACAGTTACCATTGAAGTATTTACTTTAAAAAAAAAATGTCACAAGGAAGATACATTACGGGGGCTGGAAAGTGACTGAATGCCAATAATATTGCTGATTCTTCTTTGAATTTTATATATAACAGGAATAGCAGACCATATGTGGCAACAATATTCAAAAGGGCCACGTTAGCTATGGAGAAAAAAAATAAGTTTAATGTATATTTTTCTCTTTCAAATTAAAGTCAAAACTATACAATGACGCCCAGTTTGTTAGAAGCATTTTATAGGCTCACATCTAATCAACTTATAGGTACTTCCTTAATACTATAATTCTACAGGTAATCCGATAGGAAAGACGTTTAAGGAATCAGCTGACTCTTGAGCAGCTCATCTTACCATCTTCTCTTAACGAGTCTTTGAATGCTGCCAAACGAACGGGTTTGTCTCGGTGTCCGCACTTGCTCTGCCCAGGCATGATGTTCCCGACTCAAGGGGAAGTTGCTTTGATTCAGTAACCATCTGTATTGAATGGCTTTTGTATTGGATGAAAAATTAAATTTTTTAAAAAGTGAGAGCAAATCTTCTCAAAATGTCAAGCATTCATAGAAAAATTCTTGCCAATTCTAACACTGCTTAATCTGCCGGACAATCTCCCGGATTAACTAATAATCTCCCGGATTTACAGTTAAAGCTAGTCAGCGCTGCAAATGGCTGCTGGCTTGTTCCTGTTCTGTTTACATTTACACGCTGATAAATAAATAAAATTAGACATTAACATACCACCCTGGAGAGAATTAATAATAATAATAATAATAATAAATAATAATAAATAATAATAATAATAATAATAATAAAAACATTAATACGACGGAAGTGTCAAGTTATTCTCCCCTTAGATGTGCAGTCACGTGACACTGCAGTAGACACGTGACACTGCAGTATGGAATTAGCACCACATTCCAAAACACTCTCTTTTCCATCACTCACAAAAGTCGGTAATGATATGACCAAGGTCTGTGATAAGATATTATTTCAAGAAAAATGTTTTCCTTGTCGGCCATATTTAATGAAACATGTTTAAAAGAAGGGTTAATGCCTAAATGCACATTATACATTAAACGAACGAAGTGGAGAAGTTGAGAAATAAATATCCTACATATTCAAAGAAAATATTATTTATGGAAAGTATAGAATTTAATGAAAATTTATAATTAGGGCAGAAATGTGACATACGTAAATTAAGATAATATTTAGGTGTTAAGGAAAATATAGAATTAAATTAAAACAAAAATTATAATCACTTTTTTATTAAAGTGTTTAACTGGTGTCTATTTTAATATTATTGGGTTGGTGCATAATTACCAGGCGTTTTTTTTTTTTTTTTTTAACAATATTTGTTATGAAAAAAGAAGCATAACAATTCAACAATAACAAATAAATGATTATTCCCGGGTGTATGATTATTGATGTGCATCTTTATAACCTGAAAATAAAATAAAAAATTTTTTTTATCAAAACAACAATTTTTATTAACAAATAACGCGCCTACAAAAACGCCTGATAATTATGCACCAACGCAATATTTTCTTTTATGATGGAGTAATGGATTGAGAAATTGGAGAACAGAGTTCGAATTCCAGTCGAATCCATTATATTCATATACGTGCTAATACCATTGGAAAAGGTATGGATCTTCTTCTACCCCCAGCTATGTGTAAATATCAGGACAGACTAGGTTCAATAGCCTTGGAGGCAACTGGTCTACCACAGAAAGAAATGGCAACCTACTGCGGGAAAAATCTGCCTCGTCAGTCATGTATCGAAAGATACATGATTGCCTACGCGTGTATTATGCATGACACATAACTGAAGTAGGTCACCTGCACTAATTTTCGATACCTTGGTTTGAAATTAATTTTTATAAATAAAGTTTTCTTGAAAGTTTAGTTTTCTCTTTAATTGAAAGCTAATGGATGAAATTTACTATTTCTAGTAAGCAAAATACTCAGGTCTATTTCAATCAGAAATTATGCTGATTGGAATCGATTTTGAATTTTTTTTTCCTAAAATAGCTTATTATTCTTTTTTCATCGCAATATAATTCTCTGTATTAAAAAAACTTCCAAAAATAAAATATAGTTTTCTGAAAGTTATTTGACGAATATTAGCTGATTTAAAGTATAATTTAATCTACGCCTGTCCCTTTTGTCGCACAAAAACGCATAGCATGAAGAAAAAAGGCCCCCATACTTAATAAAAACAAAATTTTATCGTGAAAAAGTTTGTTATTATTAAGATTAAAGACCAAGGTATTTTTCAATTATTTAAAAAAAAAATTTTTTTCATTTGCAGCATGTTTTAAATTTAGGTTGAAAATCTTGTTTTTTTTTAGGTCAAAAATTAGGTAATAATTAGCATTA